TTTTTTGTTGTATTCGCAGACTTTCCTATATTAATCGCGTTCTATCTCTCTTCTAATATTGTCGTAGTTTCAAATACCGACAGCGCGCTTCGTTGTGCCTATGCATATTTTATTGCATGCTTCGCCAGCTCTACATTTGCACTTGATTTCAAGGACCACATTTTGATGTTTTGTTCAATTCGTCTTTTGTTTTGCTAAAAATTCAGTTAATCGTTCTATGTATGTGGTTACTGTGCTATGCGGGGAGCGACGATGCGTGACGCAAGCAAATAAAAAAAATAACGAATTTGGCAGAAAAAATCTGTATAAGTTTAAAAACTGCAGGCGCATGCGAAAAATTTTGTTGACCATTTTTGCTGCCTCGCCTTTTGGAAATCAGAAGAGTATATATTTCTCGTTATCATTAAGTTGTGTGCTAAAAAAAAAATTACCGCGCCCGAGAATATCAAGGTAAAGTTTTTTTTGCAAGTTTGCGATCCTCTCCCTTGCGTCACGCTCAAATCATCAGATTATTGAAATTCATACTCCTCAGCATGTAATTATTAATCTGACGCCCTCGAGTAAATCTATCAATTTTTCTATAATATATAGAGGGCTGCCCTAGTATTCCCTGAAGACGTTTATAGAAGTCCAAGCTGTTCCGAGCATGATGAAGAAGATACTTACTATATAAATAGTTTCGTATAAAATTAGCGAAATTTTGAAAATGATGAAAAATCAGTATTAAATCAGCATATTTAATTCTTTATTTCTGTATGTAGATTCTGTCTAAAAATTGCGGTAGTTTGGAATAAATTTTTTTGTAATAAGTTCTAGCGACTGTTGAGTTCATCTATCAAGATTATACACAATATAATTAAGATAATCTCTAAAAAAAATTATCAAAAAACTATGTACAGTATATTTAGCATAGCTGCCCATACTTCTTTGCACGAAAAACTTTTGCGCTTAACCGAAAAAGGCACTTTCGAGTGAATTTTCTTTAATACTCCAATGAGAAAGGTATCCGAATGCCTATGAAACATAATAATGTAGAGCACGTACCACGTAGAAATTACTGCAAGCGAATTTTTTTCCGAATGCTATCTAATTGTCTATATAAGTACATACCTAAAATGATAGCCGTTTTCGTTGTTCTGCGAGGTGAGCAAATTAAATAAAATCTTGTAAAATTAGGGTAAGTGTAGAGCCAGTGCAGGTAAATGTTATTTTCTTTGATAATTGATAATAGATGCCCATTTTTAAGTCAGATATGGGAAATGTGCAGGTCTGTTGAATGCATCTATCCTTATAAATGTTAAAAATAATGCCGCTGATGCACATTTTGGGGTAGGTATCTTAAATGTGCGCATAGGCATAAAGGCAGCAAAGCAAAATATACTGTAGCTAAAAAAATTCAAGAGCGTATGAATTTAAAGTGGTAATTTGTATTAGAAATGGGAGCGGTATATCGGGACCCGCGGGACCCACGGTACTAATTTTAAAACGACCGGGATGGGCGGTATTGGTAAGTTCTTTAAACATTTGCGGCCGGGACGGGGATGTTTTTAATGTTATATTGAGACAAAAACAAGCTCCAAAGCTAAACAGAATAAGAAATTTATTTTCGGGATCGGCATTGAATATTTAATCCCGCGTCCATCTCGTATATAACAGGAAAAATCTAGAAACAACATACAGCATAGCCCAGCATACAGGACTAGTCCGATGCAGTGTTACTAAACATATGTATTTTAATCTAAATATGGAAGAATCACTTCCCGTATAACTCGTTGATTTGTATGCCATGTAAGATGATGGACAAATGGCTTGATTACAATTATTAATTTGCCATTTGTTTCGAGAGTTTTCAAACCAATGGTATCAGCCATATAAATTTGCCGTTTGTGTAGAGGTACTGTATTCAAGGTTTGGTTAAAAAACCCAAAGTGGCTGCAAATAAGGTAAGTTTACATAATATTTTAAAGACCATTTAATAACAGCCATAACCAACCTTGATTCCCACGGAGTAATTACGCCGTCATTTGGGCCGCCAACTAAAATCATTTTATTTAAGCGAAGTAGAGCATTTTTGTACTGCGTAGAATTCAATGTCTTAACTTCATTGTTTATAATTGGCAAGAATTTACTAAATTTAAAATACAAGTCTTGCTCTACAGGATCGTTCCAGTAATTTGCTATTGATATGTGCTGCCCCACATTGGAATAGAAAAGTTCGTACGCATTATTAGCAGCCAAATCGGGAAATATCAGACGCAAAAAACTCGCTTAAAGTAAACTCGATAGTTTTTGTACTTATATACAAGAGATATAGAATTAGTATACCTCCGAATTGACCAGCTTGTGGTGATGATAGTGAAATGAAAGTTTTAACGTTGTGAAAAGGAAGCGTTTGAATAGCAGCTCGGGCTATTAGTCCTCCTTGAGAGTATCCTAGGTAATATGCGGGGTACGATATGTTCTATTGAGGTTCATATTTTAAAATATAAAGCAAAATTTATTACCCACTAAATTGATGCCATCAGAATGCATTTTTCCGATTTCATCCAAATAGTTCCGGAACTCTGCAACTTGCCGCCAAGTATTTTCCAAACTAGACCACCCTCCATATTTGTCACAGTTGTAAATCTTTGTTCCAGGGTGTGCCTAAAATATTCAATTATTATTAAAGTTTTCACGTGCTCAGCAGGTCATAATAGGCATATTAACCGATTAGCTTGGTTGGTATTGAAGACTAAGCCAAAATAAGCCGCTTCCGATTCGCCAGTTCTAAAAGTAATAACAAAGTTAGCTTGCAGCGATGAACGTCGGCGAGTTTGGTTGTACCTCATTAATTTCGTTCGTTTCGTGTTGGCGAATCGAAGGCAGCTCCCATGAGATAGATACAGCTTTGACAGTTTCTGAATATGTATACACATTATATTGTCCGGCGATAATAAAAAGTTAAAATCAAAATGGGAGCTGAATAAAGCACAAAAAGCGTACGCTACTTGCAAGTTAAAAAATAAATGTAAATTTTAACAATTTCAGCAA